ATAAGGAGGGCAATGTAATTACTAGTAAGGCACATTTGGTCGTCAAAGGTTATTGTCAAGAAGAAGGAATCGATTACAAAGAGACGTTCACATGTGTGGCTAAACTTGAATCAGTTCTCATATTTCTCGCCTATACAGCTCACATAAAATTTGATGTTTATCAAATGCATGTGAGGTTTTCATTTCTGAATGGAGAACTTGAAGAAACAGTCTACGTTGAAGAACTTCCAAATTTTGTGAACCAAAAATTTATGAATCACTGTTACATTTTGGATAAAGCAGTATGTCTAGTCTTAAACAAGCTCTAACGGCATGGTATGTAACTCTAAATCGTCTTCTTAAATACTATAAATTAAAACAAGGTACTGTTGATCCTACCTTCTTTCGGAAGAAGGAGCGTAACCATCTAATGATAGTTCAGATTTATGTTAATGACATTATTTTTGAATAACCTAATCCAAACTTAATGACATTATTTTTGAATCAACTAATTCCAAAAACTAATGGAAACAAAATTTGAAATGAGTTCTATGGGTAAATTTAAATTTATCCTTGGATTAAATATAAGACATAGCTCGGAGGGAATATTCATCAATAAAGAAGCCTTCACAAAGATATTATTGGCGAAATTTGGAATGGTGGGTGATTCAAAAGTCAAAGTCCCTATGGCGTTCGGAACAAAACTCACCCCTTCTCTTGATAAATCAACAGCTGATATCACCTTGTTTCTTCAAATGATCGGATCTCTATTGTATCTAACATCTATTCGTCCCGACATAATGTTTTGTGTGTGTTACTGTGCCAGGTTTCAAACAAATCCTCGTGAACCACATATGATAGCAATTAAGAACATATTCTAGTATCTAAAGAAAACTATTTCTCTTGGTTTATGGTATCCGTCTAATTCTATATTCTTTGTGCAAGCGTACTCCGATCCTGACTTAGGGGGTTGTGGTCTTGATCGAAAAAGCACATCGGGTGGATGTCAGTTTCTGGATGGCAAGCTCATTAGTTAGCAATCTAAAAAGCAAACTTATGTATCCTTATGAACAACTGAAGTTGAATACATCACAGCAGCATCGTGTACATCACAAGTGGTTTGGATTCAGAACTAGCTCAGACACTATGTAATAAATATGAAACGAATTCTTCTATATTGTGATTCTAAAAGCGCCATAAGAATCTGCCAAAATCCGATGCAACGTTCCAAGAAAAAGCATATAGTATTGAGATACCATTTTATTATGGATCACGTTGAAGATGGAAATGTAGAAGTTCGCTTTGTTCGTTCCTCATATTAATTGGCTAATATATTCATAAAGGCATTAAAAGAACTATCAATTAATCGAATTCTACAATGATTGAGAATGATTGAAGATGAATTAGTTTCGAAAACCACTTCGTAATTGCCAGAGTTACTGCTCACATTTCGAATGGTTCTGAGCTTCAGAATGGTTTGGAATTTACTATTCACTTCCGACTTGTTCCGATCTTCAGAATTATTTGGAAGTCACTGTTCTTCATGATTTCGGTATTATATGTATAACTAGTGTAAGTCAATTCTCTTTTGAATTGCTCCGAGCTTCGGAATGATTCGGAAGTTACTTTTCATTTATCTTTCAGAACTCTTTTATTCTTAAATCATTTGTTATTTTTCTTATCTTCTGTTATCATTTTTCATTCATAAACCTCAAAAATATTTTCCCTTATTTACGTTTCGTGTTTCAGAAAATCAAAAAGTTCAAAAATATTTTATTCCTTTCTGTATTTTCTTTTCAAAAATCAAAAACAAGAAAAATATTTTTTTTTTCAAGAAATTGACGGTCATCTACCAACCTAATATTCTCTATCACCTATATTTAGAACTGAGGGACATGTATATTTCCGAAATTTTGTACTAGCTAAGCGTCTCTAGAAGCATGCTACAACATCCTGTCTTAAGCCTCTCAGACTCTATGTTCGAAGCCTTAATGAAACCTTCATTCTTATCGATTCTTCCCAATTAGGCTATTAATTCATATAAATCATTGAGCTACTTTACTCTTATAACATTGAGTTAAGAGTTTTCTGTTTGGTTAACCAAATATAGCAGAGGTACATCATCTTCTTCAGAACCAATCTATAAATTTTCCATCAAATTTGTGTTCACAATCGTAACCCTTGAGAATCTTAGAAATTACCACTAAGGCTTATGGTTACACATCATCTGTATTTATGATCTTGAAATTGTTATTACCATGATTTCAAGTGAAACCCAAAATCCAACTACCTTTTCTGAATTGAAGGTGAACAACTTTTTTTCTAGAAAAATTAACCATGTAATTGATGAATAAAACCTTTTTGGTTAGTACCCTTACAAGTTTGAATCTCATTTTTTTTATTGTGTGATCTTAATGAAATGTTCTCGACCCAAGTCATTTCTTCCCAAAAGATCCAGGATTTTTTTTGTTTTTTTAGATTCCATTATATCCAATCACTTTAAAGAAAATCCAAAGCTTACTTGTTTTGATGGCTACACTGGTCAAACAAGTACTTCTTTCAGATCTTCGGACTTATGTTAAGTTTCAGAATATATTAGAAGCCGAAGCCACCCAATAAGCCTTACAAAAGAAGCATTTCAATATTTCTCAATAAACTGATGATCGTAATTCAATGGGAAACAACACAAGCACTTCAGAGTCGTTCTTGACTCATAACGAAGATATCGTTGCCCAAGATCTACCTGCTTTTCATATCAAATTTATTTGATATCACAAAGTCCCTCACAATAAATTTCCTTTATTTATTTTTCTTTGATAGACTCTTGCATAAAAATCCCTATGATTTTTCTAAGTCTAGATTCAATTCCGATTGGTTACTTTAATTTTGAAGAATAGGTATTGGTCGCAAATCTGTAGGATTGTTTAATGATTCCGAAAGTGTCCATTCTGAAACGGCGGTATTCCCATATATGAAAGTTAAATCATGACGCAACATTTGGTTTTCCATGACATGCGCATGTCTATTACAACGGCACTGATACATGATTGATGAGCTAGCACTTTATTAATGGCTAACTTTTCGGCACTATAGGAACGTGAAACAGAAGTTTCTCTCACCACTCATCATATACCGTATAAATGGATCTTGAGCGGTTCACTTTCTCACAACTCTCAGAATTTCAAAGAAAAAACTGCTCTTGCTCTCTACTGTTCATCATGTCTCTTAACAAAAATGGCACGTTCATCTGAAAATATTTTCTTCGCTGACCAGTCTGCCTCGGTCATCATGCTCACTATCAAGCCCAACCAGAACATGATCATCGACATTGATGCTTCATGCTACAATAAATTGTTTAGGCCTATGATTAAATGTCTCATGTTCTCATCACTGATGAAGGCATTAACCAAGGCTGAATCAGTTTCCCTTGTTCATCTCTCTAAAGCATTCTCGGTTGTAATTCACAACAAAGCAGACAATCTTATCAACTTTGAAGTTGCCAATCACAAAATATCGATCTCGAAGCCCTACTTCTGCAAACTTCTAGGGCTCATAACATCAGCGATCAGTGTCAACCATGAATCGATTATAGAAACCTACATGATAGAGATGTTCTACTAGATGGGGTACACCAGCGACATCTCCTTGCTCTCCATGTTCAGAAAGTCCTTTTTTCTGCTGATGTTGAACAATTTGTTTACCCTCTTATTTAAGAGCTTTTCTAAAAGGGTTACTGGATCTGAAAGTTCCAGCAAGGTACTTTATACCTTAATCTATGGTCTGTACAATGGAATCAATCTCGACTATGGGTCTGTCCTTTGGACTTAATTTTTTCAGAGTGCTATTTCTTCAACAAGACACACGGATATTTCCATGCTCATTTGTCGCATGTCGTAGTCAACAGAGCCCTAAATATCTTCAAGGTTCCTTTGATGAAAGACTCTCTTATGGCTGACAATCCAACCCTTCAGAAGACTACATTCGTTATGTCAGATCTAAGGAACTTCAAGTTCGTTAGTTCAATTCCTGATGTTATGTTGGAAAAGGTACCGCTCGAAAACTCCATTTTTAGGGATTATCAGAAATTTCCCTCTTTTAGAGTTCGTCCCACTCTAGCGGAATTATAGAAGGACATCGACGAGGGAGATAAACCGAAGAGGGGAGGGAAAAGGAAGGCAAATGGGACTCCTTCCGAGACTGTCGAAAATCTGAAAAACACAAAGAAGCATGTGCAGAAACCGAGATCTCCATCTCTGGTAATTCAAGAGGAATCTGAAGAGGACGCTAACTAATGTTCAAGAGGACTCCACACTCCAACATGAAGCGGATGATACTGCTTACACCTCTGAGCCAGAACAAGTTGAACCTATTCCGAAGGTATCGTCTCCTCCTTCCTCCTCACTTCCAGTATCTAATACTTTTGATAATATCATGCAACAACCCTTTCTGAACCTCAGTACTCCTCCTCCACCACCCCTATTCAATCCTCCAACCTTGCTAATGAAAACTTCACCCCTCACATCATCAATTCTGATTTGATCCATCCCTCCACTCCTACAAACAAGTTCCATTGCGACATCATTTCCTTAAGTTTCGATCCCTCTTTCTTCACCAGTCTTTATAGACTCCACTATTCCCAACACCTCACCTATCTCAAATCCACCAGAAGTCCCTATATTCAAATCCATTTCGGAGGAGATACAGACTTCAGGCATCCCTATCAACGCATCTGATGCGAGGGCAAATGTCGATATCAGTGTAACTTCCGAACCCGACGTATCAAGTGCTCCTCTTTTCAATGAGGATGAAGATATATTTTTTGGAGACGAACAAGAGCCTATTGAGGACTTTGATTTTTAGCACTTTCATCTTGACATTAACAGTGATGAAGACGAAATTCCCATGACCAAGAGATAGTTCAAACAACTAAATGAAAAACTTGACTCAATTTTGGAGTATTCTCAAGCCTTCTCTTCTACAAAGTGGGAAAACTTATGACTACTCACAAAGCAACGGTTGAAATGCTCACCTCCTCTAATGCCAAAATCATTGAAGAATCATCCAAATCCATAAGTGCTTCTGAAAAGGAAATATATGATGCAACCGAAAACATCAACAAACCACATCAAGAAGTAAAGGAGTTCATATATGACTTCAGAACCTCTTCGGATAAGAACACAACCAACATGAACAAAGTCATTGAAGGCTTTCGTTCTGCATTAAAGGCAGAAAAAGAAGATCTCTCAACTCTTTGTGTTGACATCAAGGTTGGCAATGTAGAACTAAATTCAACCATCACCACAAAGATTGAAAAATTACAAGATCACTTGGAAGCAGAAAATAAGATTATGGATTCCTTAGCGGAGCAAACTCAGAAGACAGGTTCTGCATGAAAAAATAAAAAATGTTAAATCTATTGTTGCTAGGCTTCAGGAAGAAAAACTCTTCGTCAAGGCTCGCTATTCTGAAATTCGTCAACGTCTGTTACGAATTGTTGAGACTAGATCTCCTCCTTTCAATGATATAGTGTGCCTTTCTCTCTGTGAGAATCTAAAACCTACGTTCGCACTGCTGAATCAAATAGATGGTGTTTCAGTAAGCGGTACTTCTTTGAAACAAGGGGGAGACGAGGGGATTAAGGTGAAAGAAGAATTTGATTAGAAGGTTAATGAAACTTATAGATCAAGGAAAGACAAAGGCAAATCCATTTCTAAAGATGGTGATGATGAAAATATGACTGAATCTGAAAGGGCAGAAAGAGAAACTAGAGAAAAAGAGCTTGACGAGCTCATTTCCCTCCGACAAAAGTTTGACGCAGAAGATGTCTAAGCTAAAAATTCAGCCTTTATATTTGACAGTCATAACTCCTTGTTTCCTGCTTGGACCTTATAGCAAATTCAGAAGGAAGCCATTGATCTTCTGGAGCTATACTGCTTGGATACAAAGACATCATTTGACACCAACAATGAAGTCGAATTCCATTTAGATTTCCCCCTCACCCCACGAGCGTTTCTTTTCTGATGCTTCAAAAAGATTGAAAAGTCCCCAATCTCCAACAATAAGATCAACAGAAAACTTTTTAACTTTTACTTTGGCTGATCTGCCTTTCATGAATCTATATGATTGGATTTCCTTACTCAACATTATTGCAAAGGATATGAGTAAATATGATCCTATCTTCGACCATCTAAAAAGAATGATTAAATGATACATTCTGGAGATTGCGAAGATGGATATTGATATTGCTTCAATTCTGAATAAAAGACCCATAGTGAAGCCATTTGAAGAACCTGAGGACATCCAACAACTGCTAAGGGGTCTGATTGACAAAGAAAATTAGAACATCGTGTATAAGAAGAAGGAGGGCGTTGTTCCAAAAAAATCATGTTATTTTTAAGGGACAAACACGTGTATTCCACAAGTGCGATGAATCAAATTCTGGCAAGGGCTAAAGCGAACCAGGCCAAGTCAACTTCTAATTTGAAATGTGTGTTGGATATGATTAAGTTGTATCTGTCCGCCAGGACATCCCTTCTGAAGACAATGCCTAAGGTTTTTAACGCGAAAAGACAACAATGAAAACTCCATTCTTATTTGACACAAGGGAGGGGGGGATTGCTAGGTCTAATAATATGTTATTTCAAATGTATGCAATTAGATATATGTTTAGATTTTGATTCCGAAATGGGCATGTCCATGTTTGAAACTGCTATAAGTTTTAGTCTATAAAAAGCGTTCATGTAAATTTTCAGGTTTACAGATTATGAAGCAAGTACATAATAGTTCCGCCTCCAAGAACTATTCTACTGTTGTGATTAATAGTCATTCATCGCCTTTTTTATCATTGTCATTTCTTTTATTTAACTCATCTCATAAATATAGAATCTATTGATATTCATTGTTTCTCGTAGTTCTCCAATCAAATTGAACGAAGGTTCATCTTGACTACCAATTTTGAAGAATTCCCATGAATTGTAAATGATGGAGTTGTAATTCAGTGTCGGGTCCGGTTTTTTGGAGCTTGTCGTGATTAGTCGTGACCCACTTCAAAGTTGGAGTTAGGTCATGCGACTTCATGGATTCGATAATTTCATACATTTCTAAGAATTGGGATTTTTTTCGATGTTGGTTTGTTCTTCTTAAGCTTCGTTTATGACACAATCATCGAGTTTAAACATGCTTTCACAATATAAATGGCTAGTAATTATTTGGTTGATTGTGTGGGTATCTAAATCGACATTTCTATAAGACTTTGATACATATGGACAGAATTGGAAGGTTCGAAGTATGTAGTGAGGTGTCGAAGTGTAACACTCGATTTCGAATTGCTTTGTTATTTGTGGCCATGACTGATCATCAATTATAATAAGGCGTAGGACCTTTGCGAACAAAGGTTTATGTCACACCCCCGAACCAAGACGGCGGAAACGTTTGGGGGTGGTTGATGTCATTGTGTAGCATCATAACAATTAAATATGTATGAAACATAGCAACCAAACATCGTAGATTACAATATACCAAAATTCATGGTTTTACATATTGTACTTGTTTAACAATTACAAAAAAATAACATAAAGTAGGATGGCTCAAAAAGTAGTAAAATAATGCAGATCCAAGGCTCGAGTACCTGTTCACTGAGTCCCTGAGAATACAAATCGTTTTGAAAAGCGTCAACAAGAATGTTGGTGAGTTCATAAGTATGTGTGTAGGAAAACCTTTGTAATATTGTCTCTGATAATAAGTTTTAAAACTCCAAAAAATCCAATATTTTCTATAAAAAATATTTTGTGAGTCTCGTTCCAAAACCGTGTATAATTGCATGCATGTCCTTTGTTATCCTTTGTTTACATTTGAAAAGAGTGTATCGCCAGGAAATCCTGTATTTTCTGTATATAAAAGTGTTTTGATCTTAAAACCCTAAGACCCGAGTGGTGGAATTAGTTTACAAGGTATACGAAACATAGTTTGCTATTTTGTAATAACTAGTAGAGTGTAAATTCAAATAATGTTGTTATTCTCTATGTGTCTTATCCTTGTAGAGTAATAATGAATATATCCAAAAAATCTAAATTATTTTTTAATAGAGAATTATAGTCTTAAACCCTAATACCATGATGAAAAAGAGTAAAGGAGAGTCTAGTTATAACTAACAGGACATACCGCATACGCTAGGTAGGTACGACTAAAGGAGAGTCTCACAAGAGCCTTAATAGATTTATGTAAACTATGACTTCTCTTTCTTGTAAAACGACATGAGTGTATCTAGTGTAATTGAAAATATTTATATAATCAAAGTATATAAGCACATGCAAATTATCATGTCTGGGTGTTCAAAAGGTTACCACCTTTAAATTTACATCTAAGCACAAGTATAAGCACTTTTAGTATGTTAAAACAATTTTTCTGGTTTTTGACTTTTCTGTCCCAGTTTTTATAAAAAAATTGAAAAATCATCATAAGTCAAAATTTGGATCCGTAAAATCTGGGAGTTTGGAATTTGAGTCTAATTTGTTTACAATTTTTCTCATAATTTTTAATGGCCTCGAAGTAGTGTGAAAATGTTAATCTTCACAGGTTGGTCAGAAATTATTCCAGAAATGATAGGCAGTTTTGTAAAATTCATCAAAAATTGTAGAAAAATAGTATGAACGTGTGAGAGTAGTCATTAGAGCGCTATAAAGCTGAAATATAATCATGTAAAACAGTTTTGAAAAATATTACATTCAAGGTGATAAATACAGTCCGTAAATGGACTACAACTTTTTTGTGGAAAGTTGGGGATTAAGTTTATGTTATACATGTTTGCACCCAAGACTCATTTTATCTACTTTTGGAGTGTATAACCCCATATTCATAGTTTTCAAGCAATATATATGTTAACAACACTTATCTCATGGTTTTTATGAAGATCTATGTGATCAACTTCATGTTCAATTAAAAACCTAAAAGTTAAACACACAATACAATGGTCCATGCAATTATCCAATGGTTAACCGAGACTTTGCCTTGTATCCCCCTCCCCCCCCCCCCCCCCACAGCAAAAAAAAGTATGAAAACATGAAAAATTAGCGGGGTATAAATCTCACCATGGGTTTTTCAAGATGTAGATGAAGAAGAAGATGAAACTTTGAACCTATCTTAAGTTCTTGAAGAGATCTCAAAATGATGGTGGTTCTAAGGTCCATATTCATGAAAATGAGAGTGTAAGGGAAAGATCTTAGCATATCTTGAATTAAAACACTTGAGTTTTAGTCTAGAACTTAACAAGGAGTCTTGAATTGATGTTTGATGGTGAAGAACTTTGAAAATTCTTGAGTGAATCACTAGAGATCTTGAGAGGAAATGAGATTGAAGGAGGTTTTTGAAGTGAAAGAGGTGGGGAGGGAGTGGCTTCGACCTAACTAAGAGAGAGAGAGAGAAAGAGAGAGAGAGAGAGAGAGAGATAGAGAGAGAGAGAGAGAAGGGAGAGATGAGTCTGTGGAAGTATTTTGGATAAAATTTCAAAGCCTAGATGTATGCAATGTAAACACTTGGTTGCATGTGGGTATTGTTAAGGTGCCACACCTTTTATCCACCATTTCTTTATATATATATATATATATATATATATATATATATATATATATATATATCGATTGGGCTTAGGGAAAAAGGAAAATAAATGGGCTAAGCTTTTCTAAGTGTAATTAAAAACACCTTAGGTCCATTAAGGGTTTTCGGTTTGCATAGGTTATTGGGCTCGGGTTGGGTCCAAAAATATTTTCGGTTCAATACTAGGCTAAAAGAAATGTATTAGGCCCAATAACGATTTTTTGGTTTTGGTGAGAGAGCCCAATAAATATTTTTGATCCATTAGGGCCCATATATGGGTTTTTGGCCCAAAAGGATTAAGTGAAGGAGTTTTCGGCCCAATAAGGGCCTAATAGTGATGTTTGCCCTTACAAAGCCCATTAGAGGGTTTTCAGCCCAAAAATAGTACCTAATGGAGGTATTTGGCCCACTTTGGTCTAAGAAAGATGTTCACAGCCCAATAAGGATCATGTTGATGGGTTATTAGCCCATTAAGGCCCAATAGGAGAGTCTTGGCCCAAATAGGGACTTGGGTAACTTAGGCAAAGGACTAAAGTTGAGTGGACTTAGCTTATTGGGTTAAGTTCTTGGGCTACACGAGGAAGTTTCGACTTCAATTACGATTCTTGGATGTATAACTTATATAGTATTGAAGTTTGATTTATGTCAAAGGTAGAGTTACAAGGTTACACTAAAAAACTATCCTATACAAGGATAGAAAATATTACCCTAATTTGGTGGTTGTGATAGTTTATACCCATTTGGATGTTGGTGATGTTGGTTATGTGATGAAAGGGTTCAGTTTGTACTGTAGAGCCCAAGG